AAAAAAAAAAAAAAAAAACGGTTGTTTTATTTATGTGTAAAGGCTGTATAAGTATATGTGTTGTAGCAGAAGCATATGTGCAATACGTGCATGCATTTTATGCACGAGTGTGGTGGATGTAGTAGGGTTTAGTTGATTGTGCATTATTCGCATGCGTGCAGAAGTAGTACATATACGTACGCTCATGTGTATTTTCGCATTCGTTTTATTGTGTGCGTGAAAGAAGTATCTAATTTAAGAGCAGTTTACTTAGGTGTATAGATCGGATATTTTACGTGACATATCAGTCACATAGTCATGATGATAAGTTTTGTCTGTTCGCTTTCTTTGTAACGGTCGATGTTACAAATTTTGAAATGTCGAGCATACAAGTTTAATAAATTTCGTGGTTTTAAAAGATAGTGATATATATGTAATGAAGATACACACACTGGAAATGCAAGGTGAAGTAATATAAATGGTTTTTTACAATAAGATTTTATAACAGTTAGTCTCAAAGGTTTCATTGAAAAGTAAAAAAGAAATAGGAAAGTTATTATGTTTGTTTATTGTAAAATTAAAGTTTTGAACAGTATGTTATATCGATAAGAAATGATTGTACCTAACGTATTAGTTAGTTTGTGAAAGTCACTTGTTCTCGTTGTTTCAAATTCCATTAAAGCTACAGTTTTGGTTATTCTGTGTTCGTCAAAATTGGCGCTTGAATTGCGCCGGAAATTGCAAAGCTTTAGTATATCGTCATTATTTTGCGAAAGATAATAGACCTTAACTTTGTTTATTATTTTTAGTGTTTATTATATTATCTATTTTTTTCGTGTTTAGTGTATTATTTATTTTTTAAATATTTATTATGTTATCTATTTTCTTTTCGTGTTTATTATATTATCTATATCTTTTCGTGTTTACTTTTTTTTCTGAGTTTTATGATTTTGTATTTAAGCAGAGATAAGACTGCGGAGTGCGGCTAGGATCAAGTGTCGACTTGACACCTGGACTCGTGCACATAGCACGGAATAGAACCATGTCGATGTTTGGACATTGTTAGCACAGACTCTTACCGAGATACATTTTTATCGTATGCGTCTGAAAGTGGAACTCGTTTTGTAGTTCGCGAGTTCCACGCAAAGTGGAACCCGGCGCTGAAAGTAGCGGCTAGAAACCGTCGTAAAAAACAATGGCATGGCCGCTCTCAGCCTTCTCTCTGGCCAAAGCAAGGCCTTATTTGCTCGCATAAACCAGGCCTTAGTCAATTCTACCAGATCTGTTTCTTGCGTTTGCGCTTGAGATCAATGTAGAACGGGCTTTACGTATCTTAAACCGGAAACATACGATAACTCAAGTAAGTGAACTTTTAAGCAATTCAATCAATCACAGACCGACATTCTCTCACAAAAATTTCGGTCTTTTATCCATTGAGGGCGCTGTTGGCGCGCGGAAATGTAACTTCCCATCTAAATATCACGCGCTATGGACGAGCCATTCGAAGAAACGATCTGCCACTCTCTCGGTGGTTTTTTACGGGTGATAGTCGTCTGTCACAGCAGGTACCGTGAGTAGTAGAACTTTGACGCGATAATACGCGCGCACACTATAATTAGAAAAATTCGAATTCTAAAGCAAACTGTCATTTAATCGATGATTCTGTTCAGGTCTCCGAATAGAAATGTTGTCTTGGGTACAGGAGGCGGTGAAAATGAATCCATTTTCCACGCCGTTCACGACGGCCAAGTGTCAGGCGCTGGAAAACGGCGCTCGGCCGCTCGTTCCAGGTCGCAATATCGCCGCTGCCGCTGTCGAGGAGGGTGGTCAGTACTTCTCTCTCTCTCTCTTTTTTTTTTATGTAATTACTCACGATTCAATTGCGAATCGAACAAACGATCGAGAGCGATTTTTTTTGTCTTCGATATATCGAGCCAGAGGTTATAACACTTCTCAAGAAAAATTTCGTTCACACTGCGATTTTTAATAATCTACGAATTGTTACATCGGTTTCTCTCACGCACTCGTTTTTCTCACAGGCGTAATCTTGTAACGGATAAAGAAAGATATTGGATATCGTTACATGACCACGCCGTCTTAATGTGACATTGCGACAAAATTACATAACTAAAATGTGTTCGATCAAACGTCACGGTTTAATCAGATTTCTTTCGTTTGAAAAGTCAGTCGGACATTCGTCGATACGCAATCGCAACTGATTCGTGAAAATTTTAAATTGAATATCTAATTGCATATAATTTCGACGGATCGTCTTTTATTACGCGATACAGTAGCCATGGAATTCTACATTATAGAGATTCGAAGAGACGTTCGATTGCGCGAAGCACCGCGCGATACACACACACACACACACATAAGCGCGCGCGCGTCACATGACACTTGTGTGGTGTACTTGACTTAAATTACTTTTAAAAAGTAATTATAAATTATATAATTATATTGAATAATGGAGAGCATGTAACACAAAGAGCTTGAATGTCTTAGTTTTATGAATTTAAGCATAAACTCGCAAACACCGCGAGTTGCATAAGAGAGATTCCGCCATCTTAGTATATTGGTGTGTGTGTTGTAAAATGTACCCCTTCCTTACCTCTGGCCTTGAACGATCGGACTAAAATCAGCCTACCCCATGACTATCGTTGACTGTGACCGAGAAACGCATCGGAAGTATGTCGAGCATGCAGAATATGTTTTTTTATCTTAACTGTGACGAAACAATGAGACAAAGTTTACTTGTATTTTGTATGTCATCCAAAGGAAGAACTGGATGAGCATAGATTGATCAGCTGAATGAATAATTTTGTCTTTGTAGGTTTTGAAATTTATACATTTATGTTTGTAAATATATATGTAATTATAATATATTTGTATTATTTAAAGCGTTAAAAATATCTCTTCAATATATATTTAAGTATGCATGTAATGTGGTGATTTATGTATTTACAGATAGCTGTGAATTTGGATCGAATCATTATTTCTTGTTATGTGGCCTTGGAGGTATTTTATCCTGTGGTATCACTCATACTATGGTCACTCCATTAGATTTAGTTAAATGCAGAATTCAAGTGGATCCGCAAAAATACAAATCAGTATTCAATGGATTCAGAGTAATTATTTTTATATTAACTTTTATATTATATATATATATATATATATATAACATACACTATGTATCATGTATATATATATATATAATTTATGATAAACTTTATTTACTATAGGTAACTCTTGCCGAGGATGGCACTCGAGGAATAGTAAAAGGATGGGCGCCTACTTTCTTTGGTTATTCCATTCAAGGAATGTTCAAATTCGGACTGTATGAAGTCTTTAAAGTTCAGTACTCCGCATTAGCTGGTGATGAACTCTCTTATGAATACAGAACCACGTTATATTTGATATCATCGGCTTCCGCTGAATTTTTTGCAGACATTGGTCTAGCACCATTTGAAGCTTCAAAGGTACAGCTCATATTAATGAAAAGTTTATATTGTTAAGTTTATATATAGTGTATAAGTAAATTCCTATCTCGCGCCGCTTTTGTTTTACGCAACGTGCAATCATTATTTATAGGTGAAGATTCAAACTACGCCAGGATATGCAAACACTTTGAGACAAGCGATGCCGAAGATGTATGCGGACGAAGGTCTTTCAGGCTTCTATAAGGGATTGGTGCCATTATGGCTGCGTCAAATCCCGTACACTATGATGAAATTCGCGTGCTTCGAGCGTACCGTCGAACTTCTCTACAAATACGTGGTACCAAAGCCTAGAGCAGAATGCTCGAAAGGCGAACAATTAATAGTCACCTTCGCGGCCGGCTACATTGCCGGTGTTTTCTGCGCTGTCGTATCTCACCCTGCTGACTCGGTAAGTTTTACCAGCCGTTTGCTTTGTAAGATTTCTTCATGATCTCTATAACATATGAATTTCTGTCCATCAGGTGGTGTCGAAATTGAACCAAGAGAAAGGAGCGTCTGCGGGTGAAGTTTTGAAGAAGCTTGGCTTTGCCGGCGTATGGAAGGGTCTGGGACCGAGGATCGTTATGATCGGTACCTTGACCGCAGCGCAATGGTTCATTTACGATGCCGTGAAGGTTTGGCTGCGCATGCCCCGTCCACCACCACCCGAGATGCCAGAATCTCTCAAGAAGAAGTACGGTCTAGCATAAGCGTCTCGATTAGACCATCGTTAATTAGAGAAAGTACGTGTATAAAACAATAATTTGATCTTGACCGTACATTTATCGACAAGTAACGTGTTCTGTTACTTATTGTCGGGTATTTATTTCGTAAATCTTATGTACATCCGCATCCAAAGGGCGACACTGCCGCAAGATTAAAAATAAACAGTTGTACATTACAAATAGGAAAAAAAAATATAGGACGCAATAATTGTCGATACAATTTGAAGAGGCGTAGTGAAACCTATTTTTTTTTTTGTGACGGTAACAGACTACTCAAGATGATTGTAAGCTGTCACATACATAGGGTAATCGCTCTAAATAAAAAAACCGATTGCTCGATTATACACATACCAATCACTTCTTTTCGAGATTATATTTTAATATAAAAAACAAATTATAATTTTTTATAACAAATCTAGCAATATGTTAGTACCCAGTACGTGTACGGACAGTTATAAAAATAATATATAACTGTTTAAACTTTGTAACAACATTTTCAAGGTAAGTATCGCGCCATAAGTACAGCGTCTAAGTAGAAAATGTTTTTTAAAAATATAAATATCTCATAGAAATGCAATAACTAGGCTCCTGGTAAGTCTATGACTCGTGTATATCGTACAATAAAATTATTGTCATTAACCAGAAATACTGTTGCTTTGAAAGTAAGTGACGGCATCCTGCACAGTCGCAAACATTTGCAACGACATTGTGCCGTATATGTACAAATCGCATTTCTTTATAGTTTCGTAAACAGAACTGGGACAATTGGTGAAATAAACCTCAACATTTATCTGCGCGAATTCTTCCACGATCGAGTGCAACACTTGAACACTACTAGGGTCGATGTAACTCAGCGCGCTCATGTCCATGATTACGCAATGCAATTCAGATTTACTTTCGGAATTCTTATCATTTAGAAAATGACCTTCTTCCGCTAATTGTTTTCTCAATTTGACGATCTTTTGCGGACATACTCCTACCAGTGTGTATACAGTTGATTTAAAATGATTATTATTGGCAAAATTCAAAGTTCCGCAATAATGAAATATTTTTATTCCAGGTATTTCTATCGCCTAGAAAAACAAAAAAAGTAAAGTCATGTTGTTTTCCACCGATTATTACTATCTTATAGCGTTTATTTATTTTATTTGTTGACAAGATGACTTACCGCTTTATATCTGTTCAAGTTCAAGTATAGATCTGTACGCGGTATGTGACCTAGCAGACACAGGTGAGGTCGAATAGCTTGCAACAGAATGATGACCAATGAAACAAACAGTCCCGCGAGCAATCCGATGTCGATATTTATTAACGTTACAACAAAAAATGTTACGATCCAAATTGTAGCGTCAGCTTTGCTGAGCTTATAGAATTTTTTTAACTGACTAGCTTGTAGAAACATTCCCTTTAAAGCTACCTGTCGCAGTGTTTTTATTATTTATCATTAGTTGATTATTTTTATTAAAAATCTGGCGTATTTATATTTTTTCTCATTGATTTTACTAATAATTCTTTACGCACCACTATTATAGACGCTAAAACACATCTCGGCAGGAGCTCAAAAAACGGTGCAATCCAAAGAAGTATCATGAGCAACAACAAGCAAGATACGATACTTGCTACCTGAGTACGTCCACCAACAGTTTGTTGAATAAGAGATCTACTTAGAGAAGCCGATATCGGCATGCACGAGAAAAAAGAACCCATTATATTGCTCAAGCCCTGAAATAATGAAAATAATTGAGATTATGTATCATAAAGTATATTAAGTAATTTGTCAAGATATATTATTGCCTAACCATTGCAAGAAGCTCCTGATTTGAGTCTATTTCATAGTTGAGTTTTTGCGCAAATATTAATGCCATTGATACGGTAATGGTATACGAAACCATGGTTATCGCAATGCTATCAATCGCTACTAAGGGCAGTAATTCAACACTAGGTATTTCAACTTTAGGTAATCTGTTAAAACATTAAATACAGTAATGTAATATCTCTTAATACATGTATGCAATACTATATTTACATACCCTGTTGGAATATGTCCAACAATTTCGATATTATAAGTCTGTGGCAAATCACAATATCGGGAAACTAATGTCCCACCAACAACTGCAATGAGTTCAATAGGTACTGGTATGCTGCATTTTTTGTTCAATCTTGGCTAAGTACGAATTATAAATTACGTGTCACATTACTAATTTTTTTTCCTCTTCAAGTATTTTTTGTGATTATAAATAACAAATTCATGCTCTATTTACCTTTAGAAACTCATTGTTAATTATAAGAATAATTATTGATATAGTTGACACTATTGCGGCAGATATATTGGTATTTTCTATTTCTTTAAATACATCTACGACAGTCTAAAATATCGAAAAAGACGAAAGAAGATAATTTCACTCATAATTTGATAAAATGTAAGCACATCATAACAATATTCTTAATTAAAATTTACTTACAAAAATTAATTTAAAATATCCTTTTTGCTTTGGTAATTTTAGACCAAGTAGATCTTTTATTTGAGATATTAGAACATAAACAGCAGCAGCTGTTGTAAAACTATTTACCAAAGTTTCACTTAGCAATGTTGTCACGATACCTAATCTGAATATGTACATTATTATCTGTAACGAAAATCTTTCTTTGCTCTTATTTTTTTTTTTTTAACTGATATGCCATATGATTTATAATACCGATAATATTTACCTGATATATTCCAATCATTAGTGTCACAGCTGTAGCCACTTGCATAGGTGTATATGTATGCGTAGTATCTTCAAGATTTAGAGAAGCACTATCTGAAATATTCGCAGATGCATGTTCCACAAGTGGATTTGAGTGAGACGTTACTACCTTTCCGGTCATTAAGCATACCACAGCAAAAGTTCCTGATGAGTTCCAAGAATGTTTGATTATTGAGCATTGTCGAACAAGTTTATATTAAAGTGTATTATATTTCTAACTGTCTGGTAATTGAAGTTAACCAGACAAAAATGCATTAGCTGAAAGTAACAGAATTATATTTTTGCTATTTCATATTTTTATCTTCAGTATTTTATGAATTTTTTTGAACACCGTATACTTTGTATGCTTTGTTCTCATTCATCTGTATTCATCTGTACCTTACCTATAGATACATGCTTAGATGTACCAAATAAAAAATACACAAGGACAGGAAAGAAGGCCATGTATATGCCAACTACTGGTGGCAAGTTTCCCAAAAATGCATATGCCATACCTTGAGGTATATGCATTATTGCCACAGTCAAACCAGAAATAACATCAGGTATTAGGTCTTTTCTGCAATTATATTTGCTAAGCCATTTTATCACTGGCACAGTTGACATCATGCAAGATTGCCAGTTTTTTGACTTGACATTGTTCACTATACTCTGAATTACTACAAAGAGAAGTATATATATTTAATAACATAGAACATTCAATTTGTGATGTATATGCAACTTACCAGATGATTTTGGTTTCTCATAATCATAATTTTGATTTAATACTTCATGTTTGTAAACAGGTCTTTCTACATGTATTTGCACTAACAAATCCTGCTTCTCCATGATTACAGTTTATATTGTGGATTATATTTACTGAATAGACTTTAGTCCTAACGGGTGTACATATATCTCTAGGCATAACCCAGGAATGGTGTTTATCTCTGGGTTTGTGTTCAGTTTATCTTTATCTGTACACTTCACAAGTAATCAAATCCAATAATCAATATTAAATTCACATGACTGATATAATATCTTTGTACACTTGAGATTGGTAATTTTCTAATATATTTTAGAATTCTTATATAACAAGTAACTCACTTAGTATTAGTCACTGTCACATGTGCAGCATCCAAAAGTTGTCTTGAAAATACATTCAATAATTAAATGCACACAGAACGCACACGTGTACAGGTATTAAAATGAGTATATTTTTTCAATTGTAATATATATTGTTCAATTGCGATATATTGTTTATCGCTGACAGGATTAGTTTTTACAGTACTGAATAACACGTGATACAGAAGTGATTTTATATATAATTTTTAGCGCGTCTTCGACCGTAGGTTTGACGTGACACAACAGTGCACGACACATTGAACACTGTGACACATGTGGGAGACAGTCATGTGATACACCGCGTAGTGAGGGAACAACCACGTGGTGGAAGAATTTATGAGTTGCGCGCAAGCACAAAGACAATCCCTTTGGTGATGATCCGTATCAATAATGTACAATAGAAAATAAAAGCTCGAATCAATAATGATATTTTTATTTGCAAATTTTCTTGCGTTTCGCACAAAAATTTTTAACGCAGTATAAATTTTTTCGAGATTCAAAGAGTATCAGTCTACAAAAAATTCACTCATTGCTCTGCTTCGTATCACACTTGTCAGAGAATCTTTACACGCTGATTACACGGTAAAGAATCAAGTTTTCATCTGTCACATCTTACGTGATTTCGAGACGTAAATAGTCGCGAAACAGCCGCTTAGGCACTATGATCTTCCCCGCGTGGTGTAGAGCGCTTGCGTCAGTTGCGTGCAGTTTTGTTTTTCTCCAGACGTCAGGTCCAAGCCCGCCGATATAAGGTATCAACAAGTAATCGAAGGATATGGTATGTAATCTTCAGTTTTCACTAATCAATATATATTAAAAATGTTTCTATATATTTGTTTTTATTCCGCAACTTATGCGCGCGAGTCATTAATTTGCAAACTAAAATTATGTGAGTGTACGGCTGATAGTGGCATACTATTTCTAGTCGCATTCTATAAATATTAAAAATCGATCTATTTACACCCGCGTATAAATATAATATATAAATAACGTGTAAATATATAATAAAATGGTCTCATTTTGTAGGAACCAATTATGAACATACTGTGTTCTGCGTGTAATATACATATATATATACGACGAAAGACCGATAAGGAATTTGTAAAGAAGATTGATGGAATAACTAAAGATACTCATCAATATACATCGATAGACAACAAGGGACCGCATAACAATAAGTACACAAATCATGTTTTATATAACTTGTTTTCATTAGTTGCTTGTTTATTATACAATTTTGTTTACTATATATATTATAGTGAATATATAGAATGCGCCAAGAGTCTAAATAAACAATGCAATTTTTTAAAAAAACCGTTTTAAACAAAAGTTATAAAGTTTAAAAAGACACATGAAATATCTATTTGACAATATTCATTTTGAGTAGTGTTGCACGTGTGCCAAGGTCGGGTCAAGATCAAATGATTTTTTTAATAAAAAGGGTCAGAGCTAATGTGGAGATAAAAAGCAGGAAGTTCTATTTTGAAAAATCAAGGTGACCTGATTAACGCCATTCAAAGTCATATGGATGTTAATGTAGAATACATATTTTTATCCTCATAATTTTTATCGGAAACTTTTTTTTAAATTTGCATTTACGAGATATTTGATTGTATTCAGATTTTTTTACTCATTTGCAATATTTGCATACTTCCACATTTCCATATCTTGTACAATTGTTTAATCTCTCTCTTTAATTGAAGACGAAAATAAATATATTTGACATATCTTTTAACATGCAAAATGTCATCAAAACGAATAAATTTTCAATGCCTATATATATTACACAATATATGTATATAAATACATGCGCAAGTACGAGTGGGCTGACACTTTCTCCGATAATAAAATTCGTCTCCGATGAAGCGTTTGGGAGGCACATTCCGTTTGTTAACACATCGATTTATTACGCCGACTTCCAGATTCTTTTCTGCAAGTCGGCGATTAAATTCCGATACAATTTCCGCAAATGGTTGCTTAAGATGAATTAATATATCTGCGCGAGCACATCTCGAACAATTACATAAATATAACGCTTTTGAATTGAGATCAAAATGTAACACGTAGTTAAATTGTATATAATTTGTAGAACATGTTGTAGTAGTTTCGTGTCGCCGTACCCGTGACAGAGAACAATAAAATAACTGTCTACGTGAAAAAGAAAGGGAGATGAAGAAAAGGGAGCGGGGGAGGCAGAGAGAGAGAGAGAAAGAAAGGAAAGGAGCACAAGAGTGATTCTCTCGAGAAACCGAAACGAAAGAATATATGGTAAAGAAGATACAGTGAGGATGAAACTCGTCACCGGGGGGGAATATCTGGTGACTCCCACCTTATATAAAAGCCTTTTTCTGCTATATGATGTATTTAGTCTTTTAGTTTCGAACGGCACTGCGTGTGTGATTATCCTCGAGAATCATTCTCATCTTCAGGCTGTGGTTTGATCTCGGATAATGCCCTACTGAAAAAGGACTCTATCATCAAAATGCTACGGGGTGCTACTGGGGTTCTTTTTATTCTGGTATGTGTACCTTAATAGTGCTTTGTATATTTCTTTCAGGATTTATAGAAAAAGATAAATAAGTTTCGCGCGAAATTTAAAGTCGATTGAAACTTACAGTCTTTTCACAAATATGGAAAACTAAAACTTTAAATTTAAGACTGTTGATTGTTTCTCTTTTTTTTTTTTTCTTGCAGTTTAATATATATTTTAAAACTTCGAGTTTTACTTAATATTTTTAAGAACGAGATTTATTTGTTGCAATTGCATTTTCAATAAAAAGATCTATGACAATGTTTGCGATCTCGTTATCTCTGAAGAGATTCGATAACTCGTAAGAAAATTGTGCGTGCACTAAATGAAACATGTTCTAAGCACCTGGTGTGAATTGGTTTTCTTTTGATGATTCGAGAAGTAAACATTTCCGAACACGTGTTAATGTAAACTGTTTTTTAACAAAATAAGAAAAGAATAATCACGCTCGCGAAAACAATAAACAGGTGAGATGAAGGTCTACATCGAGCAGACCTTCCCCTGCTCGATGTAGACCTTCATCTCACCTGTTTTTTTATTTTTTATTTTTTTTTATTTTGACTGCTACTCAAAGTTTTTTTTATGTGTTACTACTTCCGTTGCTATATTATGGGGTTATTACTTTGCGATAATTAGTATACACTTATGTTTTTACTAATCGTAACAAAAAGTGAGAAGAGCTGATTTACAACTCGCATAATGATCGCATCGTGACTCACATTATCTTTCACGAGGCTCTTTGATCTCGCGCGCACACACAGAATGCGCCGTTGCTCTCTTACATATCATTCATACCTCTCTCAATGGCTTTAACACGCCGATTGTTATTGGGGTCACAGGTGACCGCGACTCGACTTTACAGTAACTCCGCTTTAGGGTCATCGGTGACTCATTGATCCGCGCTATTGAACTTATTTGGAACCAGTTGCAACAAATATTGCGTCATCACTTCTAAAATTCTGATTGGCACACATGTGGAATGCTGAAAATTTCCTTAGACGTACAGTTTGAAATTGAATGGCAGTAACACTTCGCAAGATATCGCTTCCAATCTGATTAAGGAGATTTTATATCTTACTAATTAGGTGAGTGTGAGCGCGAGAGGTCTTCTCGTCCAGATAACAACTTACGTATTATATATAGACGTGCTTCTGCGAACACGCGTCTATAGAAGGAAAAGCTTCTCTATACGTGTTTTAAGTAGTCCAAACTCGAACGGAATTCCATGAATTAAATGCGCAGGTACAAATAAAGAGCAAAGATCTTTTTTTTTGTTTTTTTTTAGAGTAAATATTTTGCTTGTACAAAACAATATTTTAATTTACAACATTTTTATTTTAGTTCAAACATCTATTATTTAAAAACATTCGATAAAATATAAGGAAACAACTTGAAATTTAGTTCCAACCGAAGAAATTGAATGAAGTACTTCTTGACAAAAAAGCGAACAAGTTGTCTCGAAAGAAGCATTTATTCAATAGAAGTTTTTCTGTCTTTTTTCTCCCTAGAAGAATTAGGTATCGATTAGCATAAATGACGCGATTGATGACATTCGTCGCCGAAATATGTACATCACTCGCGCATTAGGTAAAATCTCATTCTCGGTGAGCCGATACGTAATCTAGAAGCGCTTTAAATGAAAACAACGCGCACATACTCCAATCTGTCTTGCAAATGTCATTGAGTCTTTTACATTCACTTATGGTCTAACTGTCTTTACTTAACAGTGAACGCAATCAGTGTGTTGACAGTGACAACTTGAAGACACACACATATGAAAAGAAGTCACACTTATGGACGAGTAAAACCTCATTAATCAATTTTACGCGGAAAAAGTTACGCGGATTATTACACAAGATAGTCATTTTAAATTATTCACGTGGTTTAGGAAACGTAAAATTCTTTCACTTTCTCACATTAGGCAAATTTAAAAGACAGATTCCGCGCACGACGTCAACAAACTTAATATATTCGACATATAGTTCAGTAAAATTTCCGCATACGTTACAAGCTCTTCTTCTTCTTCCTCTTGTTGTGTCGAAAACTTTTTCCAATCAAATACGCGAAATGTGCAGCGCGCACGTTACTGCATCGTCGCTTGTTTATTCTAGTTTGCGCGCGTTAAAAAAAAAAAAGTTCTCTCGAACCGTCGAAAGTGTAATAACGTAGAATTAATGCGGTCAATATCTCAGGACTAACACAATTGTGCGCCGGTAGGTTTTTGCCTCCCGGCTAAAATGCTGGTTCTTTACGCAACCGTTTACAGGTGACTTTCACTGAGAAGATGATACATCGATTCTGCACGCAATTCATAAGCTGATACAGCTTTGGCCATTTGACTGGCAGATTCGCTACGAGCAATTAAAAGAGATCCGGCTGCGTCAAATGTCGTCCCGTTTACCTTTAAGGCTTATCAAAGTCGTTGTGTACACCTTGTTTGTTAAATCGCTCTCGATCACTTCGTCATACTATTTACTTTCGATTCGCGCGGATAATATATATTAGAATTCTAGAGAATAATTCTCAGACAAGAGACACGTTTGATCTTATCTATCGCGTATCAATTTTTATTTCTTCTTTTTTTTATTTCTTCTTGTGTGTGTAACAACTTGAAACAGAAATTTGTGCAAATGTTTATCAAATTTAAACAAGAAAGAGATAAATACAGACAATTTATTTACTGAAAATTAAATCAGAATACGCCAATTACTGTGTTTTTACAACTAATAAATATCCCAGTGACAAGTTAGAGTCGCCTTAAAAAAAAAAAAAAAAAACCTTGAACGAAATGATCTTGCTATTGTTCACTAAAATATCACGACATAAATACCGCGGATGAATTAATCCTTGCGGCAACATTTGACGCGGCAAGTACGCGCGGAGAAGGGTTTAGGGGTCGGGAGTTAGCATATGTTAACCTTTTATTATATAGTTTGTCAATCCGGAGCTAGAAAAAGAAAATGATGAAGGAGAGTCTCTTCTTGGTCGCTTGGCGCATGATCTTCTTGGAATCGCGCAACTTTCGCCTCTCTCGTGGGTGGAACAACAGAACGGTCGAGATTGTCTCGATCCTGGTCAAACCCAACTTTGACTAGACACGTGCTACTTTTAACAGTAATAGACGACATTCTCCCGGCGAGAATTCTTATCGAGCGTCAAATCGATTGCGAAATCGAATGGGATAATATTTAATGAAGATCAATAGATTATCTTTGCGAAACAATATGATGATCGTTTTGAAATGAAATTTCGAATTCGCTCTCATAGGTGATTGCTGAATCGGTATCGCAAATCACTCAGGAATCGAAAACCATTAAACGGAACGAAGACGTGATTTTGACTATCAGCGACGATCAGAAGAGACAGTACTTGCGTCAAAACATCACGTCAGGCAAGTCACAATAAGTAACAAAAAAGAAAGTTATTTAAACACATTAAAATTTTAATATTAACATAAAATATTTTATATATATATTTATGTATAGTTTATTTAGAAAAAACATTTTGTTTACTTAGAAAACAATCTTTTGTAGATGTATATAAATACGGTTATGACGTTGATTCGAATGGACAATTTCATCATGAAATACGTGGTCCGGATGGTATCACGTACGGCTGTTACGGCTACGTCGATTCTTTTCACCGATTGCGAACAACATTTTATCTTAGCGACGGCTGGGGTTACAGGGTGGTTAATGCGGGGAAAGACGTGGAACTGTTTCTTAACGAGCACAAACATCACGTAGAGGGTGACAAGCACGATCATCATGGTGTTGTTACACCGTGGGAGAAATTACATTTCCCCGCGATGTGCGCAGAATACACACACGATACCGTTTCGGCTTCCAAAATATCAAGTGCAGGAAGTACGTGAATGAGAGAGTTTACAGATTTTTATATATAAATATACGCGAACAAATACGTAATGTAATATTTGTAATATAATCGTATCGACGGTATTAACAAAATATGCTAATGTAAATATATTGACTTTTTTTTAAACAGCGCCTATTGAAAAAGGATCATTTATCGATGCATCGTCAAATCGACCGCCCAACAAACCTGCTTTAGATGGTATGATTTTAAAATACATACAATATTATTTTATGTAATTAAACAATTCTACAAGTACAACAAATGTCATTAAAGCTGCAAAAACAGGGAAACCAGGTCTGCATGATATACTAGAAACATCACGTACGCCAACGGGTTATCCTCGTAATCTTCCCGGCATATCAAGATTGTTATCACGTCCAGAACAACCAAGAACGTTTTCTGTATCAGAAACGCCTAATTCTCCAGGAACATCAGTTTATGCTAAACAGTTTGACAGTCTAGGAACACTTGACACTTCAAGATTATTACAAGGAAAACTCGGCCCATCCGATATATCAGAAACATTCGGCGCTCCAGAAACATCAGGAAGTCTGGCGTATCATGGAGAATCGAGCAGTTCAAAAATATCTGATACTCCAGATGTATCTGAATTATCGCCATATCCAGGACAGCATGGCATATCAGGAACACTAGGCTTTCTAGGAACATCAAGAAGACCAGTTATGCCTGCTCAATCTGGACAACCTGGCATTCCAGAAACATTTAGTATTCCTGTTACATCAGCTAAGTCCAAATTATTGTCACATTTACAATATTCTGGCACGACAGGAATATCCGATACTCCAGAAATAGTAGGAATATCAAGAAGTCAAGCATATCACAAACAGTCAGGCAGTTTAGAAAAGTCGAAAAAACTCGGCACTCCAGAAACATTTGATATTCCTGGTATTTTAGTTACATCTGGATTATCTGATACATCGAAAATATCCGATATCTCAGGAACCGCAAGAATATCAGGAAGTCTGGTATATCCTAAACGACCAAATAGTTTAAATATAACAGATACATCTGGATTATCGTCACATTCAGGACAGTCCGGCGCATCTCGTACACTGGCTGGTCAAGTACCATCAAGGAGACTACCTACTTATTCTAGACAGCCCGGTACTGCAAAAGCATTGAATATCTCAATTAATTCAGCTACATCTAGATTACCGTCATATCTAGAATACTTTAACACGTCTGGTACACCGAAATCATCTGATATTCCGGAAGCAAGTTTAACTCCTTTTAGACAACCAGACATTTCGAGAATATCTAGTGATTCAAGCACATCCGGATTATTGCCCCGTCAAAGGCAGCCTGGTAAAACAAGTCATTCAAAAACATCCAGTATTCCTAAAACGTCAGACGTTTTGAATTACTCAGCACAAACATTCATTACAAGAGCACCAGATATTCCTGGTATTCCAAGTACATCTGACGAGTTGTTATTACATTCAGGTCAGTTTGGAACACTTAATACGGTAGGAAGTTCAGTGTATTTTAAACAGCCAGGTGATCCAGGAATTCTTGATATCTTAAGTACACCTGGACTATCATCTCATCAAAATCAGTCAGGTACACTAGGCACTTCAAGAAGACCAGAAAGTCCAGTTGAACAATCAGGCGTTTCAGAAATTTCTGATACTTTTGGTCGAACTGGACTATCATTTCTTCAAGAACAGTCCGGTACACTAAGCGCTTCAAAAAAACCAGGAGGTCTAGTGTATTTTAAACAGTCAAGTGTTTCAGAAATTTCTGATACTTCAAATAGATCTGGACTATCATCTTATCAAGAACAGTCCAGAACATCAGGAACTCCAAAACTATCAGGAAGTTCGGTGTATTTTAAACAACCAAGTGTTTCAGGAATTCCTGATACTTCAGGCACACTTGGATCATTTCATTTAGAACAATCCAGCCTATCTGATACATCGGGAATACCAGATTCTCGAAAAATATCAGGACAATCGGTTTTACCTGCTTATTCTGAACAGCAGGGCACCTTAAAATCATCTTTTAATAATAATGGAAACATATCTGGATCGATATCTTATCGAGAACACTCTGATGCTCCTGGTACACCAAGAAAACTCGAAACTCTTGCATATTCTAAAACTTTGTTGGATAAATCAGTCATTTCTTCAAAACATGGCAGGATAGGTATGTTATTAGTGTTTTTTCACAATATTGTATTTATATATGTAATTTAAATTATTGTTTTTTTGTCATGATTATTTAGGAAATTCAAAAAGACCAGTGGAATTTAAAGGTTCAAGTGAAATCATTGAAGGTGTAGGAGAAATCGATGGCGTGAATCGTGATGGAGATGTCGGACTCGATGGTCCTAATGGACCATGGCCAACTGGTTCACCAGGTCCTAATGGGCCGTGGCCTGGTGATCCAGATTACTTGTCTGGAATAGAACCAACAAGAAAACATCCGCAAATAGAATCGATAAAGCAACATTCCAAGACCTTTCCACTTGACACTGATAATTACAAGTCTGTCACACAATATTATTTCAAGAATAAGACTGAGCCGTTATACAAAAACTACGAAAACATCAAATTGAATTTTTCACACTCAACAAACGCAAGCGTACCGCTATATACAAAACAAACTAAACCTCAATACAAAATCGAATCTACATCGTCAATTTATGAAAAAGAGGATACATATGATGCAGATGAAATTAACTCGCTGTTGCAAAGAGGCTCGACATCACCGTTATTGAAAAATAATGTTAAAAGTCATAAAAATCCGAACTTCGTTAAACAACTTCCACAGACTTATAATCACGTATCTCGCATCGAGTCGCACCGAACAGAAACGCCTCCCGAACAAGACTCGGAACAATTGTCTGTTTATGATCGGAGCCAATATCAGAAGTCAGTTTTTTATCCTACTCATAAGTCACAATTTTCCAAAGACCGATACAATAAATTAGGTCGACAAGAGAGCTCGTTTAATACACGTGGGCAATACAATAATTCCGGTACGGATAGCAAATCAGTTTCATCATTTCAGTCGGACGGATCTTCTACTGGTATGGAAAAACAGGTAAATTCAGGCCTTGAACAGTCATTTCAGGCGAATCCCGGCCTCGACGCTATTGGGATTCATCCGCCTGATTTCATTAACGTCAAGCCCTTCCCGTTACCTATAGGGCCAGACCCTCAAGCATGCCCCTGTTACTTAGTTGGACCGAATAACAATACAAATGTAGCAACCAGACCCACTTCCACTTCCGTCATTGGTCAGATTGGATTCATTCCCGTCATCTTTGTACCTTACTGTCCCGGAGATGAGACGGACAGAAAGATGAAAGCCATATTCCCATCCGCCGCTCCCGTTCCATATGCATGCGATGCATGCGGCGCGCAAGACAGCGCACTTGGAATAAAACCGCTCGATATAAGCCAACTTGGCAATATCAATTACTTGAAAGAGCTGTTAAATCAGGCCAATCTTGGCTTTTTGAATGTTCCAGTCAAGACCAGCGCTAACAGAAGGAGGAGTGGGACTAAAGACAGTGTAAGGAATGCTTGAGATTTATCGGTCTTATAAGTTTCGATCATTCTGAGAAGAAAAGTATTATCTTCTTCCCTCCCGTGAGGATAGTTATCGATAAATATAGAATTGCCTTGGTGTTGTCTGTCTATCAGCTACGGAATTAACTGATAGATAGCCAATTAAAGACATTTGTGAGAATAATCAGAGTCAGCGCGGAATAATTGAGAGATTATACGTATTAAAATTTTCTCATTTATTTTTTGATCATGTAAGCGATGAAAAACATTAATATTTAACTTCGCTTTAAATTACATGTGTATTCTCTTTAAAAAATAATGAGTTTTTTCCTCATTTTTATACAATATTAATAAAGGCTGTAAAATTTTTATATCAGCTCGCTGATTATGATTATTCATGCTTTAATTTAAAAAAAAAAAAAAAAAAGAAAATTACAAGCGAATCAGAATTGTTTGTTTCTCCAGTCAACTATTTGTGCATAATTGCACGTATTTCTTAAGATTGGCCTTTCAATCTGATGTTCTTTTAAAAAGAAGAGAGATCGAGATTTTTTCCCCTCTTCTCTGATGAATAACTGCGACATCTAAAGAAGTAGACGTTTAATAATTCTGATTCGCGAGCTTTTCCTATAAGCAATTAACGTCAGTATTTGTATCACAGTATAATGATAACAGCGTTGAATCAAATTTTTCACATCCTTATATTAAACATCAACGTATATAACTATTTTTGCTTATCTCAAATCACAAGTTACGTGTAACATATAGAACTTTAGGTTTTATCCAATTATCTGTGTGGTGAGAGAGAGAGAGAGAGAAAGAGAGAGAGAGAGAGAGAGTGAGAATGTTGAGGTCTCGTTATACATATGTATAAGTAAGACATTACGATTGTATGTGTAACTACAGCCACAAACAACTAAACCTTATAATTTTCTTGGAGATCGAGAATGTTGGGGAAAAAAAAAAACGATATTACGCAATAGTCAAAAGGGTCATGAAACTGCTGTTAAAGTTTCGAGATGTGTTACGTATACGATTCCGTAAGAAACCCGAAGTACTTTTTATTTAGACGAAAACGAGCAATCGTAAAAGTTATTCTGCGCAAGAGCGAACTAAGTGTAATTGTGTAAAAATAAAGAAAAACCAACTGTACTAAGAAACATATGCATTTGTTGTTCCAGATTTTTCGCAAAGAAAGAAAAAAAAAAAAGATATTATTTTTAATTTTCTTTCGCGCGCGCAGGGAGACGAACTTCATTGTGAATTAAACGCAAATACGATCCTCCCACTTCTTAACATTATCGCGCTCGTAACTTGTAATTATGTCGAGAAAGAGAATACACGCGGGTTGTCATGCGGGTGTGAATACGCGTGAATGTTGCGTGCAAATCCCGTATTTTATACACACTTTCCAGGGGCGCCGACCGGACAATCACAATTTGCGCCGAATATATTACGTATCCAACTCGTCGCCAAATGCCGCTTCTATCTCTATTTTGGCAAATATTAATATGGCATATACGCGCGATGTAAACGTTTAGTTTTCACAGTTGAGAGAACAGTTGCTAATAAAATCTCGCAAACGCAATTTAACACGACGTCGTCTCGTTTCGTGTCAATCTCATGAATTTGAAGTACGCGATCTTATTTAGAACGTGTATACACATACACTTCTGTGTTACATCTCACTTCTTCCTCTCACTACATCACGTGATAATAAGTTTGTTTGTTTGTTTGTTTGTTTTTTTTTTTTTTTTTTTCATGTATATAATAGAAATCTGTGTTGTCGCAACAGATGCAAATCGAGAAACAATAGGAATAACAAGTATCGATACTCTGTGCGTTGTGACGAATGACATTTGATGCTTTCACGAAGAATTTACGAAGACGGTTTTCAAGTTTGAATTGCCGTTAGTGCCCACAATCGAGTGAACTGAAATATCCGCGCAAAGTTGGTTATAAAACTAGACACTAACACGGTTTTCAAAAAAAAGAAAACCATCTTTTACGAACGATATTTGTTCTTCTCGTGAATTTTTAAACTCGATAAAGACAAGCGCTCTCACGCTCGTCGTTTTCTTTTTTTTTTTTTCTTCTGCTTAATAATTCAAGACAAATTCGAAACAGCGCAAATTGCGTTTCGAGAGAAGCGGACGACCGTCTCTCGCGTAGAAAAAGTATACGGCAACTTTATCCGCGCGGAATAGATAAGTAGTCGGGATCGCAGTTTGCGCGCGCTCCCTGACCAAGTAGTTTTCATCAACGATATGAGATTGCCGCGTCTATCGATCAAATCTGACGCGCTCGTGCACTTCATTTGCATTATGCGTGCACAATCCACGGGGGGGAATTTAATCGATGCTTCGAATACCGCACGAACTTCGAGTGCGCACACTTCACGAAATGTGAGAAACGCTTTTAGTTTATTTATTTCTATACATATAGAATTGTGTGTAAATTGTTGCATCTCTCGAGACGCGGTAATATTTGTGAATAATTTATGTAGTTACGTTGCGTTTCGTATTGTCGCATCAATTGTCACCGTCTCGATTCACATTTTATTTTTGCCAAGAAATCATTACGCGGCGCGAAGTTTATTTATCGAATTATCATCGATATTAAGTTTTAGTTTCGCTCACACACGAGCGCGATGACGCGCTCTCAGCGAGCGTGGAGCATTCAGCATTTTTAAACTCAACAGTTGCTTACCATTTAGCATCAGACACACACTGACAGTTCCAAGAGCGTCGTCTAGACATTGGGAGTTAATGGCGGAGATGGCCGAGCACGACAACGATAAAGTTGCGCTTCGATGACGCGCTGTTTAATTACTTTACCTACCAGGGCGAAATTTCACGCGTTGGCGCAACGACTAACGATTTTAACGATATATCATCATCCGTGAACATTAAGTGAATCTTATCGTTGCGCTATTGGATTATAACGAAGAATAATTGGCTATAAGTCGCGCAAACACTCATTTCTTCATTTTTTTTTTTTTTTTTTTTTTACGCATAATACATTAACGGTAGGTAATTGGCTATATAAGTCGGCCGAACGCTTCACACTTCGTTTTCTCCCCTTGCTTTTTCTCTCTTTCTTTCGTTCTATTTCTTATCTCGCGCAATACGTAACATTTATAAGTCTGTGTTGTTTATTTTATATACGATGCAATTAAACTAACGTAAATAATTTTATGACGTTCTCGTGTGTTCTTCTCATATACTTGTGTTATATAATTAACTTTCGCGATAGAAAACAATACCTTTGTGTACAGAGACATTTTTTTTTTTTTTTTGGTTCAATGACTGATTCGATAATCCTGTTTCCATTTCGAATGTGTTCGGCATTTACATATTTATGAAAATGGTCGAAGAAAGTATAATCATAGCATGTATAATCCAGGTCGGAAGAAGAGGGATGCATAAATAATGGAAATTTTTTATTTTGCAACATTTTCCCCACGGCCAAAACCTTTGCTACATACCTTTGTGCAAAAAATACAATAATATCGAAATTACAAAAAATTATGGTCGAAAATAAAAGCAAACGCGACAACGGACGTAATGAAGTAAAAGGAAAAAATCCCGCTCTTTTTCAAAAAAAAAAAAAAAAAAAAAAAAAAAAAAAAACTAGAGAGCAGATTCCATCCCTTATAATTACGCTGGAGAGAAAAACTTGCACAGAGAGGAGGGTGTCTAAAAGCGCGAACGCACGCATCGATAAACGAGATTGCACGTTCGTTTTCCACTCCCTCCCTCCGGTTGCGAGATCAACTCTCTCCGGTCGCCCGGACCTACGGCGGCAAAAGGGCGACGCGAGAGAGGGTGATGTCGGTCGAAGAGTAGAAGGTACTTGAACGGGGACAAATCAGTCGACAGGGCCAAGGGTTTCGCAGCCCTGACGTAGATACGTAAGCGCAAGAAGGCAGGTCCAGTAGAAGAGAGCCCCGTCGACGGGCACCTAGGATTGGCTATAAAACCACCGTCACACCGAGGCATCGACGTCAGACGTCGTTAGTTCTCCGAACGGTGAGGATCTCCGGTGTGCCACGCATTCGTTTGAAGGTACGTCGTGGTTTTTTTTTTTTTTTTTTTTTATTATTATTATTTTTTTGGTAACTTAACCGTCATCATTTGTCATTTCGACTGTCATCACTGCGAGAACCGAGTGTGCTGTCACCTCTCAGGTTTTTTTATATTCTTTTTCGTTAATTTAGACGGTAACATCGCACGTAACATCGACCGGATCAAGCCGGAGTTACCGTCGCGCCGTACCACTGTTTTTCTCACGTTCCGGAGAATTGTCAACGCAGGAAGAAACTTTGTGCTTCCCCTTCGCGCTTCTTCGGTAAAGAATTATCAGAAGAAAACTAACTCTCCGGGAGCTCTTCAAAGAGATCGACTCTTCATCTACGTGAAAGTTTCGCGAATTTTAAAAGTAAGTGTTTTTAACGATTGCTCCTCCGTTGTGTCACTCGAGCCTTTTACTTCGATCGCAGATACGAGAAACAAAACAGTGCGCACTTCAAATGTGAATGAAAAGATAAATAAAAAGAATTTTATTTATTCACATGTCTCGCTTGATATTTAACAGACAAGTCAACAACGCGGGGCAACGCGAAAGGCAGATGTTTTTTTTCTTTAATATTCATCAATTTATTAGAAATCGATGAATGAAAAAAACTCGTCCGTTTTGTCCGATTGCATTTAACAGTACAGTGCATTATTAACGTCCTTGCATTTTTAAAAATGATTTTATAATCTACACACACACACACGGTTTGTAAACAACATGTACGTAACGTGCGGACACAACGCGCGCGGCACCGATTTCTTTCTTCCTACGCATACAAATCCAATTATCGAGCCTGGAACAATTCGGCAATTAATTGCGCCACAGGCGTGATTCATAAATATGTAGATATAATTATTAACGCTGATCATGAGCCAGAAATATTCGCATAGCTATTCAGCTTGCATGTTAATGCTGTTTACGTAAAACTTGCGAGATAGAGAGAGAGAGAGAGAGAGAGAACGCGCGTAACTTATATTCGGGGAAGAGAAACAGAGCTGCACTAGGTATATCCGCTATTATTCACTATTATATACCCCGCATGTCTGCCATATTGTTAGATTCGTTTTGATTAAACTGTCGCCGTAGTCTCCTCATGCATATTCCTCCGCACGATATGCACCGCCGACAGGAGATCGGGGCATGAACGAGTACATAAATATAAGACTACTATCACAGAAATTGATGTAATGTGTACTTTTATCAACTTTCATGCATATGCAGTGCGTATATCGTAAAAATATATGCTCTCTAATATAACGGCAGCAAAGAGAGCGCTCATCGGCTAAGTAACTAATATCTACTGACCAATGTTAAATGATATTATCAATTAATTTGATACTTAATTGCATTATTGAATACGGTGTCGACATTTTGTATACGGTGATACATAAACGTGTATATGATGCACGCGCGGTTCCCATTCGATGAATTAATCATTGAATTTAAAAGGTGAAACATATATACACGCGATATTTTTACGCATGCGGCATTATTTTGTTTTTGTCAAAATTTCTATTCCCAGATAGAAAATAATTTTACCTCCTTATTTTACCGTGTAATTTTTTACTTTTGGATTTTTTTTTTTTTTATTCCACCAGGAGAACACCGAGTTGTGTTATTCTGTAATTTACGCGAAAGAAATAATATTATCGTAAAATATCGATTGTTCGCAAATAAAAACCAGTTGTGCGCGCGTGGTAACGAAAACGTATAAAATTTATTTATTGCGCGAAAGAAAAATATAAACTTGTTATAAATTTGCTTCTTTATTCCTTATTATGTTCGCTCTGTAAAATGAAGCGTTAAGAAATAAATTTATTAGAAGAGTGAAACTTATGGGAGATCTGCTGTTATCTACCTTATTGTTTAATCAAACTTTTGATGGTTTAGACGATATATCCGCGTAACTTGAGAAAATTCTGCAAAGTGAGATTTGCGTTGTACAGACTTCAAAACTTTTCCCAATATATATACAACAGAAATATTCTCATGAGAAACAATATTTATTTTCTTCCGCACATACACATTCTAATAAAAAGTACATCAGTACTTAGCACTTATTCTATACATTTACATTTACATCTTAATTATCCATTTTGTATTATATACGTTATTTTTTGCAAAACATTTTTTTTCTATATGATTTGTTCCATTTCATAATTGATTTTTTTACCTTATTATTGCTCTTTTGCAGATATTTTATCGGGGACTTTTTATTTTAATGTACGTTGAGAGAGAAGGCCATTTCTCTTAAACAATAAAATTTTCTGATATTTAATGCGTCATTTCTGGACTGTTCGTGTCCTTGCTTGTTGAAAGTGCGATTTACGTAAATATCCGAGAGTTCACCTGAGTTGTCTAACATCGGTCACAAAGGAAGACTTTGATATGACATCCTGCTGGGAATAATATTGCATCAAACCAGAAGTGGTCTCGCGAAACGATACTCAAGAGGATCTTTGATTCCGCTCGAGGTATGACAGTGTGAAACACGTTCCATGTATACGACAGCGTCTCATGAATGCGAATATTAGTTTGAGAATTTTCATTGCTCACGCACACACGCGCAACGGTAATTTCTACTTGTAATTTCAATGATTTCTGTTACGCGTTTTTTTCTTCTTGTGCAGCACGACTTTCCATCGATAAGAAAAAACTGCGCGTGCGTTCTTTGAATTAAAGTTAAAGTATGAAATTTGCTCATGTTTTTTTTTTTTTATGTAAATTTTTTATAATTTTAATTCTGATGTATTTTTAAATTTCTATGTCTCGTTATGAAAATTTATTATCGGATTCATGCTACTGCAAAAATGTTTCTCTTTCGGCAAAAATATAACGATCTATTATTTTTTTATTATACACTGAAATCACTCGTACTTGAAAAATTAAAAGACACATGTATGGTGTTAGGGTTCTGATCTCTTCGCAAGACGTTAATTTAACGAATACACAGACAATTTATTGTTTTATAACTTGACGAAATCCGTGCTCGCGCACGTTCCAAGAAAGGGAATACAATCAAACTGTTGCGTAGCGGCATATTGCATTGTTAATAACCGCATAGATTGTTTGCGTGATCGACTAACTGATTTTCCAGACGCGTTATAGGACGGATTCGTGGTAAATTTGCGTCAAGTAATCGGTGTTCACATAACGAGGAAGTGTAATTATTATCGATAATTCTCCGAGAGATTCGATGATTGATCTTTCCTCAAAATAAAAAAACTCGAATCTTTATCATTTCATTTTTCAAGAATATTCCGCACTTTGACGCGTAACAAGATTATCTCTTGGTCAAAAAAATATTTTTGGCACGAAAAAAAAAACAGGTAGAAAAGAAACACGAGAAGAGAGAAAGAGGAAAAAACGCGCAACATGTATTCCATTAAATTGATTTTACTCTTTTCGTGTCTCTTTTTCATGTCCGCGTTGTCTATTAATCGTTTAATCTGCTTAATTAAAAGTCACAGGTCACTGGTTTGCGATGCGTTTGATAACGGAACGTTTCGTTTCTCCGCCTAGACCAAGACATTAATTTGTTCGGGTATTAATTAACACTTCAAATGAAGACACCGACACAATGTCACGAGAAGAAGAAAAGATTGTAGTAAAAGGGAACAGAACTAAAATCGAGCTGCGTGAAATTCCAGTCGCCGGCCGACTCTCTCGCGCGGCGTAATTGAAAAGCGGGAACGCGCGGTAGAGCTCTTTTAAATTACGAACGACAAATTAAACCCTCGGTGTTAATAAATCTCGACGATGACGATAACGACAATGATAACGGCGAGGACACGACGACGATTTTCTCTTATATACGTTTCTCAGGAAACGGAATCACCTCTATCTTTTCATTGAACATTACTTGCAATTTTATGTAATTTTCTCAATATCATCGGATTCGTTAGAATTGCTAAGTATTATCATAAAAATTGCGAAAAGAAATAACAATTTTTTTTGTGCAACAAATCTTTTCGCTTTTTCTTTTCACTTCTCGTGTCGTTGTTGCTTATATATACGTGTCTCTCTGTGTGTCTGTTTCAGATATTTGATTATGAACATTATTAATTCATTCGGCACGATGTTATTTGGCATTCTGACAATGTCGACGATAATCCTGGTGGGTTCCGCTCCTCTGTCGTCGTACGAAAGAAAGACCAGCATGTCAGACGATCGTCCGAAAATTTTTCTCCTGCTGGATCAAAGACGACCAGAAGTAGAGGTATTATTTCCCGTGGATGACAGTGAATAATTTACGACAATTTATTTTGTAAATCTACTATTATCTAATTAATAACACGTTGGGGAAATATCCATCTATTTTATGTCTACAAGTCACGCGCCGTTATCTTTCCGTAATTTTTACCATTTATTACAGCGATGTATTTGCATATAAAAAGCTTTTTTATGATGCGTATTATATCTGTTGATAAAGTTTTTGCGGTAATTATAATCGTATATTGTCAGGTAAAACGGTTTTTGTGATATATATATATATATGTATATTGATTATCGCATTTAAATATAAGTTGTTCAACTTTTAATGAACTCGATAGAGCTTAATATAACATTCGGGTGTGTATAAGTAAAATGAAGGCGCTGCTAAAATAGGAGAGTATCGTCAATAAACTGTCGATATGGTCTAAGTGCATAAAGCACATGGAAATCGCGTTTGCGTTGCGAAACAGCAATGCTCGAGGACTATTATGTTGTGCGGAAAGCAACACGACGTGTGTCCTTATCAAACCGCTTGGTTTACAAGCAGGTTGTATTTTGAATCGGATGAAGTTTATATAATCAACTAGAAACCTGGATCTCACAGTGTTGCGGATAACGTACGCGAGATATATAAATATATATATTCCATCTGTTTAAATGGAAAAAAAAAATATAGTATACGATTTGATATTAGTATATAACGGGAAGAGTAACAATAATCCGCAAAACATTTCGTAAGAGTGCGCAAGTCAGGAATGCAAATGAGAAAACGTTCTCTCCTTTCTTTTTTTTGCTTTTCGTATTTCATTCTCGATTTTTTTTGCGAGAGCAACAACCGAATTTAAATAAGATCATAAAAAATTGATAAGAATTACATAAATGTCAGAAAAATTAACGCGACAAATGTGTGTTTGTTTATTCGTAGAACGACATGCTGAGCTCGAATGATTTCGGATTAGACGTGATGCGCTCCAAGAGAATCGGATCTCTATCAATAGTGAACAACTTGGACGTGCTGAGACAGAGAGTTATGCTGGAATTGGCTCGTATGGAGGCTCTGCAGAATCAGCGACAGATCGATCAGAATCGTCGTATTCTCGAAGATATTGGCAAGAGATCGGATTCCGATTATGTGTCAGGAGCCAATAGAACTGTAAGATCCGACTCGAAGACCAGTCGCAATCGAAGTGCGGCATTTAACAGAATCGAATGGATGAGCGAGGACGAACCATTGTATCGCGGATCGCAGGAAGATCGGTTGTCCAAAGTACGAACCGCTTTGCTTTAATTTACTTTTATCTATTTTTCACATCGATGAGTTAAAAGAGTTCACGCGATTAGTCGCGATTAAATATATTAATATATTAATATAAATATATTAATAAATTAATTAATTTAAAACTTAATTTAATAATTCGCTTTGCAAATGCATGAACATACTTGTCTTCAAAATAAGTATAACAATAATGTTAATTTTTCAGATGCGGGCTAACGAACTTCATCTGTTGTAACCGCGTCTCTTGGCCTGCGAAGAAAGATTTCATAAATCCCTGATATCTTAGCTCTGCGCTATGTGTTGACTTTCGGTCGATTGTGTAATCGTTCTTAAGTTGTTTCATCGAAAATTTATTCTCTCGACTCAAACCCATTTGAAACAAAATCTTAACAAGTATCTTAACAAAATCTTAACAAGTAACGAGCAAATGTTAAAAATTGTAAAATTGGCAAATAGCGCAAGCACGCTTTTCGCTAAAGAAGTTGGTAATAACCGGAATGTTTCGTAGTATATACATGAAAGTGTTCGACTTTTTACTTTTATTAATTTTAACGGTTTTTAGATATTCTCGTTTTGTTTTTGTCTCGAAAAATGGAAAGAGGAAAAAACAAGAGACGCGATTGTTCAAAAAGCCGCGACGATGTTTGATAGATTTATTGTATAATACTATAAAAGAACATTGTATTGAATTCTATTGAAAGTTTTTAATCAGTTTCATTCTTGTACCCAACTTCTTCAGAAAGACGGAGAAGGATACGTAACGAAGCAGTATTACTCGTTGTGATTTTAAGTAAATTCCCTTGTAGAGAATATCTACCACTCAATTTTTATTTTGTAGTTATGTATGTTTTGTCAGTACTCGCATTTGCGAAAAATGCGGACATAAGTTGATTACACATCCCAGCTACAAACACACACAAGTATATTCATTGTATAAGTACATTGTATAAATTATTGCTTTTGCGTATATTCATTAGCGTCGAAAGGTTGAATACGTAAGACGTTCATGTACACCTGTAGTTTTTTAGCTCTAAATGAGTCTGTTTTCTGCATAATTAAAAATTATCCGCAAATATCCGAACATAAGTAACAAATCTTGTAAAAAAAAAAAAAAAAAAAACAAAATCCAGAAATGTATATCCTACATATTTTACGAATGTTAAAGCGTTTCTTTTGTCTGAGCTTGTTATGTAGTACTCTTCCTAAAACTCACGTCGAAATGTTTCGAATTATTTTTTTTTCTTGTTCATTTTTTTTACGTATATTTTATACTAATTAATTATCTAATAGTATAAGAGAAAAAGAAATGAGAAATTAAGTACAACATAGAAGATATTGTCATATACATTAGGATTTCCATTTTTTTTTACTGTTCTTTGATATATGTACATATATATGTTAAGTAAAGTTTGTAAAAACGAACGAATAACTATTTCTTTATAAAAAAAAAAACATAATTAAACAAAAAATAATAATTTCTTTCTGTATTTTAGTTAGTTTTATACATTACTTTAGTTTTATTAATGCGCGCCGATCAAAAGCATTGAATTGCATGTTGGTGATAGAAAACTTTCTGGTAAATAGAAAACAGCGTAATACTTTTCCTCTCTCTCTCCTTGCAACTTCAATCATAATTTTTCTTTAAAAATCATTTTATTTTTTTACACATATGTTTATATACTATATACGCTAACATTATAAATTTATAAATTACATCTGTCTGTTGTATCACAAGGCTTTTTTTTACGCTAAAATGCATGCAAGCGTTATGATGACTTTACAGCTCTTTTATTTTCAAATTTAATCGATTTTAGTACAAAAAAAAGCAATGTGTCACAAAAATCCACTTTTTTCCGTTTTTTTTTCCCGACAAGAAGAACTACAATCAGGATTTATCCAGGCGAATGACTACAATGTCCAAAAACATATTGCGTGCAGGTTCAAAGGATTGTTTTTTTTTTTCAACTGTTTTTTCCATAATCTACATAATATATGTATATCTAAAATAATAACATACATATATGTAGAATATATACGTATGCATACGTATTACATGTATATGTACCTATTATATATAGTATTATATATATATAATATATATTATACGTATGTAATATATATATAGAGAAAATAATAATTATATGGTAATTTTCTTTCAACAAGTCTGAATCTAAAAATATACACAGGAATATTTATAAAAATAAAGTTTTTTCTTCAAAATATGTTACACAATAATCTACATCAACAATTGTAATAGTTCTTTTTTTATGTCACAATGACTGATGAAGACTCTAGTGAAGGCAGAAACATTTCATTTGTCAAGATAGTTGGGAAAATATAAACATTGTAACATCCAAAACACTGCACCAAATACATCGGAGGAGACATTAAATCCTGGTAGTTTCCACTTGTGAGTATAAAAAAACTGTATCAAACAAATTGTTATTCTGTACAAAAAGTACATTAAATATATATATATATATATATATATATATATTATTTTTTTAAATACAGGTTTACTCGAGCGTAATTTTGAAAAAAAACAAACGATGCAATCTCTATAAACTTTCTTTTAAAAATAAGTCATTTAATTTTAAAGCTCATATGTACCAAGAGGCAAAATATATTATTTTTTACGCAAATCAAACCATTCAGCAAACCTGAAATTCGACGTATTAACAGCTCAAACGATCAAACGAAGTTTGAACTCGATAACAAGAAAACTTTTGTCAAAATTATAAATTGCATGTTTTTGAAAAAAAACTCGAGTGCAAAAGCTAGACTAATTAATATCCAAATATATACTCAAAGATATTCTTGTACGAAATCTTATGAAATCTCTATCAGTCTATATATCAAATATCTTAATAACTAAACTTCAACTTTCATTGTAGTAAAAACAGGTCACTCTTTTTGTACTTTACTGCAACGAAAATTGCAAATGTTACTGTTTGTTAATTGCTGATATAGTATAATATTCAATCGTTTATTTGTAAAATCATTGATAAATGAATCTTTTCTGCTTATGACAGTATTATATGTTGCAAAAGTACATGACAGAATCTAAATAAAAACCGAGCTGCTAATGTAAATTTTGAGTAAATTATTTCATAGCAAAATCGTCGATTGAATGAAAGATATATTCTATAATATAAAATTAATCATAGTTTACGAAGATCGAGTACAAATACACTGCCGTCGGATGCCGACGCGCCGACTTTATCACCTCGACTATTCCAACAAACTTCAAAAATGCCCCCAGTGCCCTTATAACTATGCACCAACTGTCCGCTCTATTGAAAACACAAGAAAAAATTGATTAATTTGATTCTATTTAACCTTACATTGAGGATAAAAGCGGAAATACATACCTGAGTTGACCAGATGTGAACACATTTATCAAAACTACCACTGGCTAGGAACTTGCCATCAGGGCTAAATGCCACGCTGTATACTGGTTCGGTATGTTTTGTAAGTGTGTGTATACAAACGCCTCTTTCAACGTCCCACAATCTAACAGTGGAATCGAATGAAGCGCTAGCTAACGTTAGATTCATATTTGGATTGTGCGTTCCCGGACCAGTTGGTGACCACTTAATAGTGTAAATTTCTTTACTATGTGCCTGAAGATCATGTACCCAAGAATCCTGCTTCATTGACCAAATTTTCAGACTCATATCGTCCGAACAACTGGCCAACAAATTTCCTTGGGGATCCCATTTGATTGCATTTACTTCATTCTGCAAAATGTAGGAAAAAAAAAAAACAAGAATAAAAAGATTCGTATCTCTAATTAACTTACAATATTTTTTTCAATCACATATACGCACGGTGTGTCCTTGGAAGCTCTTGATCGGTTTGTCCACGTTCAGTTTGCATACATGTATACATTGATCCGTGGAACAACTAGCGAACGATGTGTTTGTTTGCCAGTCTACATCCAAAGCAGGTGCGCAATGGAAACTAAACTGTTGTGTACATTGTCCGCTCTCGGCGTCCCAAATGATGGTCGTTTTATCAACACCAGCGCTCAGAATATAGTTGCCACGTTTGTTCCATTTTAATGCAAAAATTGGTCCTTTATGCTGACCCAAAGTAGATGCAAGTCTCCCATCAGTTGTCCAAATACGTGCGTATCCATCGTAACTGCCAGTTGCGAGTAACGTGCCATCACACTATAAAAAGTTCGAAGTACACGCGTATTGCCATGTAGAAAAAAAAAAAATAAATAAAAGTAATGCAAAGCCCTCGTATAGCTGTACCTTCCAATCTAACGATGTAACATCTTTATTGCTCGGAACCTCAGTACCTCCTTTCTGAATACAATGGCGCAGTACTAACTGATTAGGTGCTTGCGAATTATCAGACATATCCCATATTCGAGCAGTGCTATCCCCTGATCCAGATGCTAAAAGATCTGTTGTAGGATTCCACGCACATATAAAAACTTCAGACTCGTGTCCACGCAACTTGGTGGCTTTACTTGCTGGAATTTCCACAGCACTGGTGTTGGCACCAGCATTTCCTCCGCTTGTTGAATCATCAACTTCCATCTCTGTTCCTCTCTCTCCACCTCTCTCGGTATTATTTACGCCTTCGTTAGATGTAGCAACTAAGAGAATAACATATTTTGATTAAATCATTAGAAAATGCAAATATTTCAGAAACATTCTAAAAAGTATAAAGCTTTTTTTTTTTGTTTCTAAATGTTCCTGTATTACAAAGAAAAATGATGTGCGCCACTGAATGACAGACATATTTAAATAATGAATTATATCTCTTGTCACTTTTGTAGTTGTAATAATCATATTTCTGTGTCACAAAAATATGTATTTTTATTGCTACACCTCTAAAGTAACAATCTATATAACTTATAATATGTCTGTAATTTATGGCTGTCCTGTTTTAATTTGCCTGGGTTATAAGGAAATCTGAAAAACTTTCACTTTTTTTCAAATCAGGGTAAACCAGGCCCTTGTTATCAACAATATCTTCTACTTGCTTTTATCTCTATCTTCATATATTTTATATATATATTTACCTGTGTGCAACATGTACTATGTATAATTTTAACTTGAGCAAATTACCTTCTTCGCCATTTGTATCTTGACCTTCGGATTTTAATTGTTGTTTCTGTTGATTAATTTGATTCTGTCGCGATGCCACAACATCAGGCATAACAGCATCAATAAGTGATAGAGACTCAACCATTCTTTGTTCTGTACCATCTTCACCAATGGAAATTTCTGCTTCAGTGTATTGTAATCCTTTCTGTAGTATTGATAAAAGTGCTGCTGGTGGTACCAAAGCTCCATTAATGTTACTTTGTGATATATGAGACTCTATGCCAAATGTATACGCAGAATGTTGAAATCCTGCAAGAAACAAATACAAGGTATAAAATAAAAAAAAAAACAATCAAAGTATAAAAATGAAATCACCGCTAACGCGGCCAAAAACACTAGATTCAGAAAAGTTCGAAACTAAAGTATCTCTTTGAGATACAATATTTCGGCAATATTCAAATTTCGAAAAGTTGGTTTTAAATACACGCGTGTCATTCGAGAGAGATAGGTGAATAGATATGTGTAAAGAAAAAGAAAGAAACAAATATATACACAAAGACAAAAAGAAAGATCACGTCCCATTTACATATAATAGACATCTTTTTACACATACCCGATTCCTGAAGATATCGGTAAACCAAAAAATTGACTTCGTCACTCGAGAAGCTCATTGTGCCTGACATTCACAACGAGCTAACATGACATTTATGACAAAAATCGTTTCAAGAAATTGTTTCTTTCTTCGTGTACGCGCGAACGTATACTTTCCTTTAGGAAAGTTTCGTTTCCCGGCTAGAGTATTGCCACGACGTACAACACCACATAATACAACGTAGCAGGGCCACCAAACTGCCATATAAATTCTATGGCACCCAGTGGTACCAGCTCTTTGGAATAATGTGTTGGAAAAATGGAACTAAATTCCAACATGGCGTCTAGTGTTACACCAGAGAGAAACCTGAGAGCGGCCATCCTAATGTAATTTTTTACGACGGTTTCAGCCGCTGGTTTTAGCCGTATTTCCACAAAAGTGGAACTCAAAGGCCNTTCTACATTAAACGCAAGTNNCAGATCTCGTGGAATTGACCAATTGCAGGGTCAAATCAGCCAATCGACCAACGTGATTGATCAGTTCCACGAGACCTGCGACTTGCGTTTAATGTAAAACGGCCTTTGAGTTCCACTTTTGTGGAAATACGGCTAAAACCAGCGGCTGAAACCGTCGTAAAAAATTACTATAGGATGGCCGCTCTCAGGTTTCTCTCTGTGTTTATACGCATCCGGCAATTTTGTATGAACAGAAGCATTAAAATCCTATAGTTAAACTTTACCAGTTCCCGCATAAGTTAACAGTTATTGCCCGCATAAACCAGGCCTTATAATTACGTCACTTTCTTCGATTTAGTCTTCTGACACGGCGAGATTATCGGCTGAGTCAGTTTTGGTAGAGAGCTCTTGTCACTTTCTGTGATCCTAGTATAAAAGTTGAATTTTTCCGCTGGAATTTACCAATAAATATTATCGACAGATAATTAATGCCACTTTCTTCAACTTATACTTTTCTAATACAAGTAAGTTACCGACTGAATCCCTTCACCTCTCACCTGATAAAGCTCTTGTCACTTTCTGTGATCCTGGTATAAAAGTTGAATTTATCCCCCGGAATTCATCGAGATTATTAAATATTACCGGCAGATACTTAGTGCCACTTACTTCAACTTATGCTTTCCTAATACGTCCAAGTTACCGACGGAGTCGGTTCACTTCTTCTCTAGTAAGAGACCTCTTGTTACTTTTTGTAATCCTGGTGATACATTTGAAATTTAGCTCGGCCGTAGCGACCGTAGCGGCCAACTTTCTCGTTTAAATCTTCAGCGAAATTAATGAATTTTTGCATACAAAGATCTTAGATCTTTTAAAACTGTAAAATTAAAATAACATAAAAATTCCAAAAGTAATAAACGTGCAAATGTTATTAAAAGTTTTGCGTACGAAACTATTTCGTTCACAGAATTTTCAAAGATGTTTTCGTCCACATTTCTTTCTGTTTCGTTTCAATACTTGAAGTAACTCCGATTGGTCAAACACTGCGCATCTCGGGGGAATGATACCTTGTCTTTCTACCAACATGGTCAACTCAGTATCAAATTCTCAATATGGCGACGCCCATTACTAACCATACTTTTTCGTTGATTATATACAGAATCCGGAGTAAAATATAAAGTAGTGTGGATTAGTTGTCTCTGACGTTACAAGGCATTATCAAAGTGTTATCAAGCGTTATCGTTCGATAATCGCATAACATGTAATTCTCACAGCGGCACATCAACACTTTACGAATTAATATGAAGAGTTCAGAACAATTAACAGCAACTGTTTATGTGGCCACTGACGATAGGAAATTTTACGACATCTCGGTTCCTGTTGGCGAAGTTGTTGAAGATTTATGTATTGAAGTATGTAAACAGTTTTGTTTTTTTTCTTTTGTATAAATAAACACATATGTAGCTAACAAAGTTCTCTGATAATATGTGCGTATAGCCTAATAGTTTCAACTTTGTCATTTCTGCAATTTATTTACACACTTCGTACTTTGTTATTGAGTAGTCCAAAGAGATGTGTTATTTTAAGAAATTGCAGTGATATATAATATTATAATCAAATAATTAGATGTTATAAAATATTTATTAGCTGTTTATAATTTATACACATATATTTTGTGATGATATACCAATAGAATACATTAAAAAGATATAAAATTTCTTAGTAAATAGAAAATCTTTTTCTTTTAGATATGCAAGCGTCTGAAGATAGGTCCGGTAGCGAGACATTTATTTGCACTAAGAAGTTGTTTGTCCAAGCTATGGCTCCCATGTGGTCACAAACTTGAGGACAAGGAGGACTTAAAATTTGAATTTCGTTTAAGATTTAAGCCATCCAGTTCACAGAGGCTGAAGGAGATAGATATACAAGCTTATAATTATTATTTTTTACAAGCTCGCACAGATGTAATGGATAATAAAGTGTCTGATATCATGTATGAAAAATATAGACATGAACTAATTGGCCTAGGAGTTACTGATATGTACAGGTATTGTATTATAAAAGTTATTTATATATAACACAGATTTCTCTTTTTATTCTATTTTTTTTTATATATATATTTATTTTTTACATATATTTATTAAATATGTTTTATTTACTACAGAGTAATGCTAGAAAAAAAATTACCACGAGAAAGTGTAGAATCAGATTATAAAAAGTATATTCCAAAGGTGTGCATAAAAAAGCACTTTTTCTTTATTAAAAAACCTATTCACTATGCATTTAATACTTTGGAGAAAGAAGCTGATCCACTCTATGTCAAAGAACAGTATTTGAAACAATTTGAATCTATGGCTCCTAATTATTTAACAGAAGAATACAAAGCATTAATGAATACAAGTTTATCTAATCCATGGATTCCAGTTTTACTTAGGATTGACTCGGAAGAAGTAAAATATTCTGACATGACTGACTCGGACACGTGGAAGACTCTTTGTACAATAGTTGATCTTTGTTTTATCTCTATAAGGTATTACCAATACTATTTGTAGAGTTTTGAAACAGAAATTTATTTTAGTTGTAACATTTTTTTATTTATGAACAAATTTGTTCTTTAGCGTCGATAACAGAAACGACTATAGTTTACGAATTGCAAAGAAGAATGGCATACCATCGCATCTGAAACTAGATACATACTCTGTATTGATGTCTTTTGTATCTGCATTGGATGGATATTACCGTTTGTCAATTAAATGGACTTTTAATCTCTGTACAGATGTTAGTACACCTAGTCTGGAAAGGTTACACATGTTAAAGTGCCATGGACCGGTTGGGTAAGATAATTTTTTATATAAAACTGACAAAAAGAAATTTTTTTACTGTATATTTTATGTTACAAGAGAAAACGAAGTTCAAAAAATGTTTCAGAAAAGAATTTTCTTACGCAAAAATTAAGAAAAAACGTGCCAACAAACCGGGAACCTATATATTACGTGAGAGCGATACTGAGTACAATGTTTATTATATTGATGTTTGTGGTAAAGATGGAAAAGTATCGTCACGAAGAGTGGAACGGCATGGCGGTAATGAATTTTCAATAGCAGGCAATGTAGATGTCTATAAATCTCTTCCAGCTTTATTACAAGACCCTGTTAATTCACTACACCTCGAAGAGTGCTTACCACCTTCAGAATATGGTATGTGTGTGTTGTGCAAATACATATAACTTGAACATACATAATGATAAAATAATATATATTTGCATTGTAGATATATCACCATTATTAATTAGTGCTTCGGAAAATATCGTGAGCGATGTAATAGCAGAGGAAGAAATAGTCACTGCAGTTTTGGAAGGTGAACCACGATGTGTATCGCGAAATCAATTGCAGGTGTTCGAAGAAATATTTAGAAATGAAGAAAATTTGACTAGACATAAGGTGACGCAACTGCACCGAGCAACGTGGCGAGTCGCCAAGGGCAAGAAAGTCGACGTATTGTTAAAGATACTTAAGACAGAAGAGAATAGCTACACCAAAGAATTTCTGGAATTGGCTGATAAGTGGGGCCAATTACGATCAAGCGCTCTAGTCAGGTGAATAACGGCTAAAAATCAGAAAAATATCCTCAGAAAATGTAAAAAATAAATTCAACGTTTTATTTTGATTTTATTAGATTATATGGAGTAACTATGGCTCCGTCAATTGGAATGGTGCTGGAATTATCAACGCTCGGTCCATTAGACAAGTATCTGAGCAGTAATTCACAAATTATACAAATAGCCGATTTATTAGACGCTACTTCCTGTTTGGCAACAGCTGTCTGGCACTTGGTGAGTTTATTACGAAACATTTCATATATTTGCAAATAATTTTTTTGTAATATAGATAATTTTGTCTATAAATGTTTTATATGTATTATTTACTTATGTAGGAAGAAAATGATGTAGTTCATGGAAATATAAGATGCAAAAGGATTCTTGTACATGAACATACGGAAACTAAGTTTACTGTTAAATTAGGAGATCCTGGCCTTTACACTTACACCGCTGACGAGTGAGTCAACGAATAAGATAATTTTATTTTTTTTTTTTATGTATTTTTAATGTATATAATGATTTTTTTTCTGTATACAGCATACATTGGATTCCACCAGAATGTCACAAGAATCTCGAATCGGCGAAAAATAGTTTTCAAGCAGACATATGGGCTCTGGGCACAACCATTTGGGAGATATTTTCTAAAGGGACTCCACCACTTAGATATCCTGACGTTAATATTGTCAAGATGGTATGTTGAGATTAAAAAAAAAAATTTGGTCATCTTAGTCGCAAATTTTAAATAACATGTAGATAATGTTGCACATAATGACTAAATTATTAAATAATATTTTCTTGCAGTTTTACGAAAATGGAGAAAGATTACCTCCGCCTAAGGGATGTCCAAAAGAAATCTATAACTTGATGAGAGAATGTTGGGGCGATAAAGGCAAATCGAGAAAGCAGCCTCAAGCCATCATGCGAGATGTCAATCAGATTATATATCAAGTTTTTAATTCACGTAGAACTTATCATTCTTACGCCACTACGTATCCCAAACTTTCCGAAGACACCGAAGACGAAGACAACTCGGATACAGAGAACAAGTCAAATAGCGATTCAAATGCGAGCAGTTTACTTACTGATCACACTAGTTTAAGTTGGAATGAAACCAACCGCGGTAGGTTGAAATTATTGATTTATTTAATACGTTTCGTGTTTTCTACTCTTTTTATTTATAATATTTACACATATATAAGAAATTTAGTAATTTTAATTTATTTTAAAGTGAGATGGATAACCGACCCTCAAGAAAATTGTCAAACAGAATTAACGAAGTACTTAGCTTTGCTCAACAATGCCGTGGGTTGCAACGGTGGTAACGATCGCAATTCTCATTCGACTCATGGCAGTTTCGACGAAGGAATACCATTCAAAAACGGATACGCTAACGACAACGGCAGCATCGATGGTAATAGCAAGAGCAGCTATATCCAGCAGATGTTCTATAGCACGGAGATGTCCGCGGAATACGATATAGTTGTGCAGGGACGCGTAGGACAAGGTTTCTACGGCGAAGTTTTCAGAGCCACGCTCGTTAAACGTGATAATGAGCATGAGACGCGACAAGTGGCCATTAAGATACTAAAGACGAGTTTGGAAGCAGACATGCGTGACTTCGAAAGAGAAATAATGATTATGAAGGTATATTTTTATTATAAAGATATATTCATAATTAAAAAAAAAATGTTTTTAGAGATTCCATTACTTAGATTGTGTTTTTATCTTTCAGACTCTCAAGCATCCTAACATTATAGAAATCATAGCAGGCCTGGATGGAGGTTTGATAATGGAATTTGTCGAACACGGCTCATTACAAAGTTATTTGGTCATTCATCGGGAGTCTCTCACACATACTAAATTGTTAAATTTCGCTCTGGATATTGCTACTGGTATGGATTATCTCGGCCGTATGAACATTGTTCACCGGGATTTAGCAGCAAGAAATATTCTAGTGGCGAGTGAAAATCGAGTGAAGATTAGCGACTTCGGTCTCGCTCGAGTTATGGATAAAAATGATTATTACATCCTCAATACCAATCGAGATTTGCCGATTAAATGGTAAGTGTCATACAAAATATAAATATATTATAAATTCAATTCTTTTTTTTTTAATGCAAGAGGCGTTATATATGTAGTGACGATATAGTATAAGTATAAAATTAATTTTTTTAATATAAATGTTTTGTATATGTGTACATATACAATTTTTATTGATATCGTAAAGATCTTTAATAATACAGTTTAAGAAAAGAAAACGGATGACTTTCTTAGGTACGCGCCGGAAAGTTTAAGAGATGGTAAGTTCTCATCACGTTCAGATGTATGGTCGTTTGGCGTGACGATGTATGAGACCTTTAGTCTCGGCGAAGATCCAAAGTTGCCCGATATTGTAACCTATAGGAACTTACATTATATAGAAGAAAAAGGAAGCGTTGAACTGTTAAGCGCGTTAGAAAGTGGCGCTCGTCTTCCTTGTCCGCCTACATGTCCACAAGAAATATACACGAAATTGATGTATCCATGTTGGAACATACAAAGCCACGAAAGACCGGATTTTGCCACATTGTGTCGACAAATACAGAATCTGCTCACCAAATACTAAAATACTTTTTTGAAAAACTCGTTCAGAAAAATAATGTAAAAAATTTCCTCGACATCTCAACGAAGAAAAAATGGTAATTTCTTTTTCGAGTTTTCAATTTGCTGTCTTGCTTTATTCGACTATCACATTTATTAACACGTTGAACGCTCAATAAAGATTGAATCAAGTTCCTGCGAGGTTCAAAATAATTTGTTTTGTGCAAATTGTTACTATTAAATATATAATAATAAACTATTTCTTACAAAGACTGTTTATAAAATTTGTTTTTATTTGAATAAAACCATCACAAATGACGTGACCGTGACGTTTAACGTGTTAAAGCTCAGGTAGTTGAAAAAAAAATTTTTTTCAAGTTTAAAACTTTAATTGTAACTAATCTAAGAATGGTTATGCAGATTGCTCAAAATTTGCTGTTGATTTTATGTGGGGATGATTGTATCAGCAGATCTGTTTACAAATCACATGTCTAACTGTCTTACAGATGGCTCTGATCTTCTGATTCGGTATTGTGCTCGAAATTGTCCACAAATTGTTAACAGATTGCTTACCAGGATAGATAACTTCCGCCACACGTAAACTGTGTTGAATTTGATTTATGCCGCAAGCATTGCCACGGTCTGTGCGCAAAGGCCATTAGAGTGTGCATTCACCTATAATTCTTAGTTTATCGCAGATTGTGTGTGTTTATGTGTTTTGTGGATCTAAAATCAATTTATATCTTTTGTTTAAGAAATCGTTTATTAGCTTTGATTTCTTTATATAATTTATCTGTAGACAAAGTACATATCCATACTAATATGTTATTGCCTTATTGTTTATATATAAATATTAGGATTGAAATATTTTCATCAAGAAAACCTATGTATAATTCAGAAATTTATCCCAAAAGAATGTATCAAATGTTTCAGTAGAATTACTTAAGAACATTTCTGACATATTACTTTTTACAGAGATGATGTATCTAGTCGACATTTATGTCGCCATTTTATCATGTATTGTATGAATATATAACTTTGAATATTTTTTTATGTCAGACTTTCATTTCCTCATCATTAGTTTATTTTTTTACCTTTGTCGCTGGATTTCACTCTGGAAGCTTATTGCTGTTTTCTCAAAATAAAGTTCGACAAGAAAGATCGGATACACGCGGGTGATTGAATTGCGCGAGATTACAAATCGCATCTCCTATCAGAATATTAAAATAATCTGCTATATATATGTATATATATCTCTTTTTTCTTTCTCTCTTTTCCACCCCCTCCCCCTTCCCTCTCTCTCTTTCTCTCTCTCGTAAATCTGTCCCTTCGTTTTTCCGGTACTACGTGTTCTCGACTGTGCTTCCTTCTCCACCTGTCCTAACTCATTCCACTTCACCGTCCTCCTCGATCCAACTTGCCGAGAGTTTCTCCGCGCGAATACTCGAGGCAGGCAGTCGCAGATGTCACTGCACCCTTAATGAGCGCACTATTTTTCACGAGTATTTTTATCCCGTTTATTGGCTGCCCGTTTCACAAACTGTCGGCTGGATATTAATCATCCGGCTCTTACAACTCTGATTTTATTTCCTCTAAGGATAAAGAATGGTAAAGAAGGGTGAGAAAAAAATTCGAGGGGACGTGCGGGAGAATTTTCTCTCTCTCTCTCTCTCTCTCTCCCTTTCCCTCTCTCTCTTGCTTTCTTGCAAGTTGTTCTTTCATTAATGTTATTAATCCAGTTTTTCTATTGAATGCTGTCTCGCTCGCCATAACTCTATCTCGTGACTTATGATCGATTTCTCACCGATCAGGTGCATTAAACGCGTTTATGAAGATTTGACATCAACACGTGAACGATGTTACACAAGTTCAATGTTTACATATATGATTACAATATATTCACATAAATCCAGTGAACTCCAGTGACATATCCGTTCCACCGATCATCCACGTTAAGCCTGTGTCTTGCCATTAGAACCTGCCGACATTGTTTGACGACAAATTGTCAGCAAAACTGATCTCTCGAACGGAGTTTTTTTTAGTTTCGATAGATCGGCTAGGTTTTTTGTTACCAAAATCTGTCGTGTTTAATTAACAGAATATTTATTTACATAGAGAGAAAAGACAATTATAGAAACGGGAAAAAAAAAAAAAACGAATGAAACACATACTGCAGCATCTTCTAATGATAAAATCAATAATAATGATCAAGTCGTTAAGAAATCGCAGCTATTAATCAAACACTCATGGCAGAAATATTAAAAAAATAATTGTGAAATTTATCATTCTCTGAAACATAATATTATACTAGCCTTCTTTACAACATCACTAATTAATTCTGAGTTTAATAAATCACTATCTATAATTTAATTGTACTTTTAATTTAGCGATGGTGAAAAATATCATAAGAAAATCTATCACGATGTACCGTTTTTAGAATACGAAAGAGAAAAGAGAAAGGAGGAGGAAACACCGTCGAGAGCGAGGAACAACGAGAGAGAAAAAAAAAACGAGGAACAGAGAAAGATTTAGATTTTGAATGTATTGAGAATCTGCGATTGATATAAAAAAACACTAAATATATTGCCACAAAAATTTACTTTTAAAAACAATATAACAAGAAAAATATAATATAGTTACTTAAATCGGGCGTTATTCGTCGAATTGCCGTCTTGTCTTATTTTAAATGTACTTTTATCGATATCCATGTGGCGTTTCGAATTTTTAATCGATCTTATCAATCGTCCTACGTATGTCAACCGTCAAAATCACAAAGTGACGCGTATTTTTATTTTTGCTATTAGTTTTGTGTTTTTACTATTTTTATTTTATTTTCAATCACGCCACCATTCGATGGACGGTTTGTGATCGCGACATTGCACTCGAATCTACCGGCATAATCTTGACGTATATTTTTCCGGACAACGCAAGAGAAGAGAAGAGAGAGAGAGAGAGAGAGAGAAAGAGAGGAGAGAGATTCGGTGGATGGCAAGCGTCCGACACGGCGATATTCGGTGGAGGCCATTTTTAAAAATTAAACGTCCCACTTTATCGTTACGCGCAGCAATTAATAATAACGGGTGCGATCGAGTGAGAGGGCGAGCGAGCGGGTGCGTATCTTTCATAACCTTTCCGGGGTATAAATCTGCGAAATTCTGGAATTATCAGGCGGCGGGGCATGAAAGGCTATTTCCGTCGCGCGGAATCGCGGGCAATATTTTACCGCCCGGGATTGGGGTTGAACGCGGGACACATCGACGTTTGATATTTTTATGCAGTGGCGCCACCGCGGCGAGATTTACGAGGCAGATATGCGATCACAAAATGTCCGACACTAAATCAAACATGTTGCATCGGAAAACATCCGAAATTATTATTGGAACTTTTATTGGATCGACGGGAATGAAATAAACGTGTGACGTAACTTTATATTCCACCCCTTCCCTATCTCGCCCGCCCATTCTCTATCCTTTTATTTTGCGTGTACGTGCGTTTTTTGTTTCTCTCGTGATATAAAAAGCTAATTGTTTTTATTTATTTGCTGTTTTTTATTAATCTTTTACAGCGCCCGATGGATTGATTTCCTCTCTTCTACCCTATATCACGTTTGATTTTTGATCACTGAGCGATGTCTTTCTTAAAAACAAAAAAAGAAATACGCGCGATGCTAAAGCTCTTCTAGAATTAAACTATCAACAAGAAGTAACAATAATACTTTCGGTTGCAGAAATATTTTTTGCAATAAAGAAGTTAATTAAGAGATGTTTCTATACGCACAAATTAATATTGGTGTAATTTACTTTTACATTTCGCGCATAGCAAAATTACGCCCCCAACGCACGTGGGTCTTTCAATGACAAATGATGCCGAGATATTGTCGGAAAAAAAAACAATTGCCTAATTAAAAATAATGTTAATTAGCGATTTAACGAAAGAACGACCGCGCATTCCCACACAAGATCGCTTCAGTTAGCTGTTATTAATCGCGCTAATCGATTTAATATTCGCTGATAATGCAGCGTCGGCGCTGAAATGCAGTGCCGTGTCTATCTTTTATTGATGTGGTCAGCACTGGCGCCAACGTTTGGCGCCTGTAATGAAGAGATGCCCCTTTAACTGAATTTTAAACGATCGCATTGTTAGCGTTGCCATTATCTGCCACTGCGCGAAAACGCCGTGATATCTTTCGTTTGTGAAATATGTGGCACATACCGACTCTTGAATTAAAAATCGTAATACGAAAAATGTTTATTTTTTTTATTTTTTTTATTTTTATCTTCTTGGAAAGAGAAAATAAGAATGCATCGATATCATATTCACGATCACTTTTAAATTCGCGACATATAAATGAAAGTAGTCATTTCTCGTTGTTGGGGAAATTCTCTGGAATGAGGTGATATATATCGCGGTTATTGTCCATTAGGAGAACCCAAGGTGGCCATCCACGCCACGAACTTATTTTACGACATCTCTTTCGTATCTTTTTGCGCCGTCAATTCACTCGCACATTTCTCTGTCTTTCTCTCTCTCTCATTCTCTCTCTCTCTCTTTTTTCCTCTCTCTTTTACCACTCATTCTTATCCCCTTTTGCGCTTCTTTTATTTCTGCCATTACATTACTTCCTGTATCTTTTTTCTTACGTCATTACAAGTGTGCAAAATGTGCGTGCGCCATGTCTTGTTCTATATCTTATGGCAATTTCAAAAACATACTTAACGTAAATCTCGCCCCGAATTGAACAAATACAAATAGGCGAATAAGACTAATATCATTATTATATGTATTTTTATATTTACATATCCGTGTGCAACTTATGTGTATGTGTATATATTTTATCTTTACATATCATTATAAAAAGATAATGTCTATCTGTTTGTCTCGTCTTTTGCAAGTTTGAATAGATCTCGACGACTAATGTTCCTTATTAAAAGTTTCTCTCGCTGCACCTTAAGATGCGTCTTATACTCACGGAATATCTCACACACACATATATACACACACACAATCCATTGACACGAATCGTAATCGTGAAAAATATATCGCTCTGAAGGGTCGCATAAATCCCACGCGATAACTCCTCTCAAAAAGGGAGGGAAGAGAGGGAGAGAGAGGAAGAGAGAAAGAGAAAGGGGCAAAGAGAAGAAGAGAGAGAGAGAGAGAGAGAGAGAGAGAGATCTGTAAGAGACGACTGCTGAGAGAGGGCTGCTTAATTGGCATGATAGATAGAGGGTGAGAGAGAAGTTGTCGCTTAGTAACATTACGTCGCGATGAAAGTGATTTTCAACCCTCCTCTCATGCTACTACCGCTGTTTCCATCGTTGTTTCTGCGCCGCCCGCTGTTCCGCGTATTGGCGAAACGTTTCAGAGTAGATTGCACAGACGCTCGATTCCTTATATCATTAAGGAAGAATAGCTCTAAAGCTCACATTGCGTATTAGCACGTTATATGCGGAAACAATTCTCAGACGAAAAAAAGTCTAATACGAAAATTGTGAGATTTGATTACGAAATATGGTTTTTTAAATTAAACGATTAAAATTTATCAATCACAGACATTTCGCGTGTTTAAATAAACAGCAATAGGATAAAGATGTTTTACTAAATGGAATTTTTACAATGACATTATAACTATAAACTTGTAACAATAAGATTTTCTTATTCACTGCGGAAATATAAAACACGCAATGCACACAGGAATAACTTAATTAATTATTAATTTCGGATATAACAACGTGCTAGATGTGTATACTAAATATATATATATATATATATTTATTTATCTTCTCTACTCTTGAAACATCTCTTCATCCCTTCTTTCTATACATCATCCAACGACTCATCCGCTGACTTGTTATTAAATTAATCCTTCGTTTAGTCAAATTGATGCATCGATATCACACAGCGCTCATAACTCACGACACCCTCTCTCGCTCTCGAGGTGCACGCGCGCGGTTCTACCACTCTCTCGCGAGGGGTTGCGCCCCGCCGATCCCCATTTGCGCTGCGCGTTGCACACACGGACTCCACTATTTATTAATATCGTTACTTAACAT